TCTTTTCCTTCAAAATGTGCAACAAAAGTCAATCAATACAATAAGTGATTTAAATATTAAAATATAATTTATATATGAATTGCTCATTCTGCAATGAACTTCTAATATGCAATTATAATTTGTCATGTAAGAAGATAAAAGGCAATTGATAAAAAGAACACTCTACTTAATTCAATATATATATTTCAACTCTATTGAGTATTGAAGAATATTATTGATATTGATTTTGTCAGTAAATATTATAATATAGTAGATTGAATTAGTGTATTTAGCTTTTTAAAATTTATGTATATTAACTTCTTTTATTTATTTATTTAAGAGATCTTACATCTTATCTTAGAGTGTGGGCTAATTGATTCTTAATATAGTTATGTAATTATTTGCTTTGAGCTTCCAACGGCTATTTCTCTACAATATTATTATAAATCGAACAAAAAATTATGTTTATTTCTAAAAATATATAAACTTATTGATAATAAAAATCTGAAAATAAACTTATTGATAATAAAAAGGCATAATTAATTTCAATTATAAGAATTATACATTAAATATTTTAAATTTGGTTCCATTAGTTCTTCCATCGTAGATATCATTTGAGACAATATAACTTATATTTAAACCAACTATGGCCTATATTATATTATTGGTATATCTGTTTGTATTAAATCATTGGTTATTAATTTCATGTTTATTTAAAAAATAATCATATGCCATAGAAATACAATACAATGCTGATATAAAAGTTACTCAAACTTGATCAACAATCAAGATGGACATTTGATGCTCCACGATGATTTGAGTCAAGATGATCCATGGAGATTAACATCAGAAGCTTCATGGAGATCCAATATTGTCGCCTTTCCAGTTAAACAATACATATTCTCGCCAACACTCAATGTATGTATGACCAAGCTTACTATGTTGGGCCAATGCATACACATATGAGAGTCAGTTGATGCTTTTGGAGACATGCCCTCCATCAACACATCATTGGACATCCTTTAGACTACATTGTGGTGCTTTTGGGGGATATCAATAAATGATAGTGATAGGTGTGAAATATGATTGATTGTGTTGATCAATCGGGTTGTTTTGTTGCGTCAGGCAGGGGGGTATGGGGGCGTTTACCCTCTGTGTACCCGAACACTCTGGCTTTGCATACTCGAGCCCTCGACACTGTGTTCCCGAGCGCCTAAGCCCTGAACGACGGAGAGCGGAGCACTGCATCAAATCAAAACAGAAGTTTGAGCACTATAGCGCTGTGAGACAGACTATACTTTTTTTTTTCTCTCTTTTTTATAAAGGGTTGCATCATTAATTTAACTTGGCTTTCATTTAATGTTAGGTTAGACATAGAGAACACTGTATGTGAGAAGAGAAGCAAGGAAAGAGTGAAAGAGAGAAGAGAAATTTATACTTATTTCTCCCAATTTTATATTTATTATCAATTCATTTATAGAAAATAATGGTGAAAGTTGCATGAAACAAAAACAATAGCATACTGCATATATAATGCATTTTTAATTATTTAAAAGTAAAGATATTTCATCACTCCAACATAAACATCAAGAATTTCTTCGCTTATAATATTTAAAAATTCGAATGTTAATTTCATTATATATATTTTACATTCATAAATATGATTTCTATGCTTTTTTATTGCAAACAAATAGAAATTAATTTTATAAAAATGAATTTATTTTTATTCATCTAATGGCTGAAAATAGAATAAGAAATATTTTTATAAGACTTTCTCATTTTGCTAAGGGTGATGAAAGGGAGAGATAAAGAGCATTATAATGTACATATATATATATATACACACCAAAAATTTCTTCACAGAAAATATTTAAAAATTTGAATGTTCATTTCATTATATATATTTTATATTCATAAATATGATTTCTATGCTTTTTTATCGCTAACAAATAGAAATTAATTTTTAAAAAAATGAATTTATTTTTATTCATCTAATGGCTGAAAATAGAATAAGGAATATGTTTGGAAGACTTTTCCATTATGCTAAGGGTGAGAAAAGGGAGAGATACAGAGCATTAATTTCAATTTATAATCAAATAAATACTATCACATTATTTATAGCAAAAAAATTATTATATTTAATTTATATAATATATTCTCATTAATTATTAAGAATATATATTATCTTTCCTTTATTGCTCTTTTCTCTTCCTATATATTTGTACATATGATTGCATCAATATATTACTTAATTCAATAATTATTGAAATAATAGCTTTCTGATGTGATATCAAAGCTGAGAAATTTTGCATCATTAGAGGAAGTATAGTATATATGAGGAGTGAGTTTAGGGAGTCTAGCCAGGCCATTGTAGAATTTAGCTGAAAATTTTTCTTCTATATATTTTGATTTTATTCAATTTTGAAACTTGCATTACCACTCAAGGCATCTGTATTTGCATGACACAAACAATAGCATTGCCACGCAAGTCTCAAATAATTCCATTTTTTGGTATATGTATAAATACGCTTAATCTCAGCTTTTTAATTTACTAATTGCAAAAACCTCTAAAATAATGAGCATATATTACGCATTTTTAATTATTTAAAAGTAAAAATATTTCGTCACTCCTACAGAAACACCAAAAGAATTTCTTCGCTTATAATATTTAAAAATTCGAACGTTAATTTCATTATATATATTTTACAATCATAAATATGATTTCTATGTTTTTTTATTGCTAACAAATAGAAATTAAATTTATAAAAATAAATTTTTTTTATTCATCTAATGGCTGAAAATAGAATAAGAAATATTTTTGGAAGTCTTTCCCATTTTGCCAAGGGCGATGAATGGGAGAGATAAAGAGCAATATTTTCAATCAATAATTAAATAAATATTATCACATTATTTATAACAGAAATTTCTTATATTTAATTTATAAAATATATTCTCATTAATTATTACAAATATATATATTATCTTTCCTTTATTGCTCTTTTCTCTTCCTATATATTTATACATTTGATTTGCATCAATATATTACTTGATTCAATAATTATTGAAATCATAGCTTTCTAGCTAATGGCGGTAGACCCGATCGAACCCGACCCGTTTTTGCAAACGGGTAGGTTTTCATAACCCGAACCCGACCCGCTTCGGGTATATTTTATTAAATTTTTTTTAATTCAATTTATTTAAATCTAAATCAAATTAAGGTAAAATTTACTTCAATTAATTTAAAATAAATCATGATTAATTTAATTTGGGCAATAATGTTTAGAATTTTTGAAATATTATTTACTTATTTCATAAAAATCCTTTAAAACCCTCTTAAATTAATTAAAAATGGGTCAAACCGAGTTGATTTCGGGTTTCCGGGTCAACCCGAACCCAACCCGATTTTACAAACGGGTCGAAATCCCTAACTCAAACCTGATCCGGTCGGGTTCAGGTTGACCCGAACCCAAAATTTTCGGGTCGGGTTTTCGGGTCAGGTCCAATATTAACAGGTCTACTCCAATTCATCACTCTTCTTCTTTTTTTTTTAATAAATAGATAAAGATTTTAATTAAACAGTTTCATTTTTTTTATAAATAAAAGAGAAAAAAACTTGATTTATTTTTTATTTCATTCAATTTTTTATTTTTATATTTTTTAAAATAATTATGTATATATGCTTTTTTAATTAATTAATTAATTAATTTAAGAGATTATTATATCTTATCTTAGATTGTGGGCTAATTGGTTTATTAATATAGTTATATAATTATTTGCTTTGCTTCCAACGGCTATTTCTCTAACAAATATTATTATAAAATCAAACAAACAATTATGTTTATTTCTAAAAAATATATAAACTTATTGATAATAAAAATATGAAAATAAACTTCTTGATAATAAAAAAGGCATAATTAATTACAAATAATAAATTTATACATTAAATATTTTAAATTTGAGTTCCCTATTAGTTCTTCCATCGTAGAATCATTTGAGACAATATAACTTATATTTAAACCAACTATGGCCTATATTATATTGTTTTTATCTCTATTTGTATTAAATCATTGGTTATTAATTTTATGTTTGTTTAAAAAATATTCATATGTCATAGAAATACAATGCAATGGTGATCTCAAAGTTACTCAAATTTGATCAACAATCAAGATGGGCATTTATATTTGATGATTGACTCAAGATGATCTATGGAGATTAACATCAGAAGCTCCATGGAGGTCCAATATTGTCGCCTCTCCACTTAAACAATACATATTCTCGCCAGCACTCAATGTATGTATGGTGAATATGGCAAAAGTAGGTAAGGATAGAGTAAGAGATGCATTTATTTGAACACACATTCCGCAATAGATTACTTGATATATCATTAGAAAAACCATTCATCATCATTTTGCGAGCCATATCGGAAGAACCAAAGGTTGGATTTATAAATCCATATCCAGTAGTTCCTATAGAGTAATACATGAAGTATTTACCTCATTTTGGACAGCTTCTGTAAATGCTAACATTGATCTAAACATGTCCCAACCCCCAACCCTTCACATCAATTCCACCTGACCTCTTGGTACATCTTTTGCCATTTGCTGCAAATGCCCAAGCTAAAGCCCATTTTCTACAATGTTCAAATACACTACTCCATTCTCTCTCAAATAAATGCATCTCTTTCTCTATCCTTACCTACTTTTTCCATATTCACCAAAAGCTTTTTCATCACTCAGGTTCATATATCATAGATGTTCTAACTACAAATTTATTAAATCTATCATTGAGTCATCATGATAATATAGGGTGGGTGGATTTCAATAACCATCTAAAGTTAAGAGTATGAAATGGAAAGTTCACAGCAGTCAAAATTGCTAATTAAATGATAAGAAAAGCATAAGTCGGGCCTTGGATTTTTGTTCAATACACACCCAGGCCCGAGCTATATATTTGTCTGCCAGGATGACTAGAATGCTCAATCCCTCATTTTCCTCTTGTCGGATCTCCTCCCTGCTTCTAGAATGGAGCTTTCCCCAGGCTTCCGTTTCCATCCCACCGATGAAGAACTCATCACCCACTACCTCTCCAATAAAGTTCTGAACACCAGCTTCGACGCTATAGCCATAGCCCAAGTCAAACTCAACAAGTGCGAGCCGTGTGACTTACCGAGTAAGAACTTGCATTCTTCTTCTTCTTCTGTCTCCATCTCTGCTTCTTCAATCATATACATATTAATATTATTTCGTTTGAATTCAGAAAGGTCCAAAATTGGCGGCGGCAAAGAATTTTATTTCTTTTGTGAACTGGGGCTAAAGTATTCAACTGGCCTTCGAAGAAATAGGGCCACTGACGCCGGATACTGGAAATCTACAGGAAAGGATAAGGAGATCCGAAGGGAAAATATACTTCTTGGAATGAAAAAGACACTGGTCTTTTACAAAGGCAGAGCTCCCAAAGGAGAGAGGACAGAGTGGGTAATGCACGAGTATAGATTGGAAGACAGCTACGATAAGGTACAATTAAAAAAAAAAAAAAAACTCAATTTGTTTCTTCTTTCGTTTGTAATGGAAACTCTAATTTTAATTACTTTCGAACATAACAAGTGGATTCTATGCAGGGTGTTCGAGAAAGGCTTGCCGGGAAAAGAAAAGAAAGCTTTTGGGCTGGCAAATATTGAAGAAGAGATGGCTCGGAGAGTTCCTCTGCCGCCATTAATGGATGCCCAGGTGACCAGCTTCCCCAACTCACTCTACGAAGGTGGGGCTTTTAATTTTTGTGCATAAGCACCGAGCTCGTTCTACGGCGGCAACAATGATTTGCTTTTTAATTGAAGTGTGGAATTTTCTTAAGCTTTGGAGTAATTAGATGTTTTTTATATTTGTGTTTGTGTTTGTGCTGTGATGAGATAATTTGGATGATATTGTAATGTGGTTAATTTGTGCACTATATTTGACACTAATTAATGCATGTTCCTTTAACTAATGATTGTATCAATTTCTCTATATTAGTATTATATGGTACCAATTACATAACTTTGATACTTTTTTATTTTTTTGGTAAGGGGCTCGAACGTGTGCCTCCCGGGAGGAGCGAGCTCAACTTTGATAATTAATGACTGTAATTTTGAACCGAAAGGACAATCAGACCTTATCTCTTGTCAAAAGTCAACTATATATAAAATAAAAGAAACTTTTCTAACAATATTAGAACAATAAATTTAATGATAGAGAATCATCATCTCTGGAATTTAATTAGAATATCATTGTACAATATTTTGCAATTAAGTTTTATCATTTCAATGGTTAAAATATCCAAAAATATTCTTTATTCTATTTTCGGCCATAATATGAATACAGATAAAAAATTCCAAATAAAAAATTATTCAAATAAAAGATTATTCAAATAAATAGCCCCACCATCAAGCTCCAAAAATAACACACCAATATTTAATAATATAAAAAACGAGTACCTATACAAAAAAAAAAATTATGAGTAATTTTCTGTAACTCTCATGCAGAAAATTGTAATAGTTCATTAACAGGTAAATTGAAGTAGCCACAACAGATGGTGAAACTGATTTTATAGTGAGCTCATATGTTAAGAAGATTACTTGTGCTTCCTGGCCTGCCTTTGTTCTCGATCGACCTCAATCTTCTTCAACAAATTTGCATGGAAACCTGGATATGGTTCATATCCAAATAGGCTCTGCAGCAGCTGAATCAACAGGAATGTGAGCTATTTGTTTTTATAGAACTTATATGAGCAAGTAAGGTGGGGGGCATAAAAAATAGTACCTCAAGCAAGACAAAGAATGGAGCCATTAGAACAGATTGAGAAAGATTGTCAAGAAGTGTTGGAGCTCGCTTCTGCAGACAAACATTTGACAGTTAGACCTGTTTTTGCTAATGAACTCAGGAATGCTGATGCTTAACCTCAAAGACCCCATGGCCTATGAATTGTCCTGTCCAGCAGAACAACTGAGTAGCCAGAACAACATGCAGTACGATTATAAAAATCTGATTTTTAAGAATTTAACACTCACCTGCTTAGTAATAAAAATATGCATGGCATTTGACTAGTAACCATTACTTAAAACGCTATTAGCTGAGTTTTAGGCTTTACTTTAGAAAGCTTTTTCCTGATTTTTATGATACGAAAAGATAGTTTCAGTTAGGATGAAAATAAGCTTAAACAAGATCAAGTTCAAAGCAAGATTAATCCAAAACACAATGAAATCCCCACCCCCAAAGTGTTGGGAGAGCAGCTAATAAGACCTCATGTTGGAGAATACTGCTGCATCGGTAATATCGACGTTTTCAAAATATTACAATGCAATGCATTAAAGTTCCTTTTACTTCAATGCGCATAGCACAAAGCAAAACAACACATTCATTAACTAAACCATTCATGAGTTATATATATATATAAAATTCTATTGCACGTGAATTAAATGCACGTGTAAAAAAAGTAAAAATAAAAATTTATATTTAAACTATTTTAATTATATTATCAATGGAAAGCCTGTTAATCCAAAATTTCTCACAAGAAACTATCATTTATGCAAGTCTAAGAGAAGATTTTCATATTCCCTTGCTTAAGAGAGATGCAAGCTATAATAGAGGTTCCAATATGTTTAGCTCCTCAAAATGTAAATTGTGTATTACCATGCTTCTAAATAAAAATATAAGTCATATATAACAATATTTTAGCAATGAGATCTCATACATAGAGTTCAATAAACTTTCAATCTTGCAAGTGAGGTTAAGGTGAGTAGGAGAAAAATAATCCAACCTCTTGTACTAAATGCTTTCATAAAATTGCTTGTTATTCTATAGCTTGGTGAATTCATCAAATGAACAAAAGAGATGTCAATTGAAGAATGAGATAACATAATGAAAATTCTATAAATATTTGTATACCTTCGCTGGATTGAGTAAAAGAATAAGCCTTTGGCTATCGCCCGATATTTAATTGAAGAATGCAAGCCATATAGTTCAATTCCGATCAGACAAGAACTATTTTCTTTACTGACTTCCAATAGAAAAGATGTGAAGAAGCTTTGAATATATAAATCACATTTAGACAATGCATTCTTATAAGTGGATTTTTTTAAATAAAATTTTATAGCTTTTTTATCCAATATGAACATTCGCCAAAAATTGACTCAAAATATTCTAAGTTTTTTTTTTTGTAAGGGATTAAGTGCGGATATGTTTACATAATTATTTAGACTTTTTTTTATTTAAAATAAAAAAATGACAAAAATAGCAAATGAAAACCCTTGTATTAATCTTATTATATTAATGATTTATTTAAAGCCTTATTAGCACTAATAGTGTTAGACACCTAAATTACTTTGATAAATAAATAAGACAAATGATTATGATTAACATTTTTAAATAAGCGATCATAAACAGCACCATTAAGCATTTATGTATTCGCATGAAATATGTATATCGTCTAATTTTAAACATTCATCTTTTTATCAAATTTTTTATTTATAAAAATCCACCAACGGCCAACGCATTAATTCATAAAAAACTAGTCTTTAAATGGATCAAATGTTTGCTAATGCCTAAAGAACTACAATTAAAAATTAAAAGAAACCTAAAGAGCTAATGATCCCAACTACAATACATGAAAAAGAGGAAAGAGATTATCATAATTGAGATTATAATAATAAATATTATATAACATTTTATGATAAAATTTTTTGCCTATGATAAACTTTTATAACCTCCAACTAATTAATTAATAAAAAGTGCATATTACTTACCTTTATTAAAAAGTAGATGCAAACAAATAATATTAAAATTCACTATTAATAAATAATGTGTTTGAAAAAGATTAAAATAAAATAATAGAATTACAATTGTAATATATATTAATGATAATAAAAAAATCAGTATTCTAAATTAATAACACATATTTCATAAGGTTGACGATTTAAAATAATTACATCAATATGAAAAACTATCATGCAAAATTCAATGAATTCTATCTACATAATTAATTACAAAATATACATGCAGTCAAATAACTTTATGTATACTTGTCCATAAAATAATGATAGATTTTTTGGCCAACTGAAATAATAGATAATGAAAATAAATTAGTTTCTTTGATATTAACTAGAAAAAATACATTAACAAATATGAACAATGATTTTCAAATATGAATTATTTAAACATATAAATAAATTATATGTGTTAGAAAGAAAATAAAATAGCATGATATAATTACAAATTAAATACACTAAAAATTAATTTTCTTAATTTAAGTAATATCAAGAATATCTATAGAATTTTAAGAAATAATTAAGTATTGTTCCATAAGAGTATCTATAGAAAATCAAAACATTATCAAAAGAGAACCGATATGACCCAATCAACTTCAATAATTGAAAAGAATTTAATAGTTATATGTTGAAAAGAAAAATTTTGACAAATAAATGAGTGGATACTCCTGACCTCTCCAACAGGTTAACGTCGTCGAGCCAAAAGGCTCCGACACTACAACCTCGGAAAGGTCTCACATCCTTTGGATTGGATTCTCCCGACCTTTCCACACAGGGTTAACGTCGTCGAGCAAAATTCTTCCGACATACAAACCTCGGGACAGCGTCCTTACATCATTGCCGGATCCCCAATATCGAGTAACATCATCGAGTAAAGCGGTCCCATTGACAAACAACCTCGGATAGATTTATTACATCCTGGTTAACATCGCTAGAATGTCGTTCAATGGACTTTCTATCTTACTTCTCCACAATATTAAAAATTCTAACCCAATTTTGGAAATTTTCTCCTGTCGCTGAACTATTTGTCTTGCAGGACTTTCGGCGGCTTCTACTCGTCGTCGGGACTGTATACCCTTCGACGAACTTTCAACGGTCTTCTGCCCGAGGGCCGTTACTTCTACTCGACGTCGGGACTCTCCTTATCGCTCGAACTTTCCTGCTCGTCAGCAGACTTTCTACTCGTCGTCGGGACTTATGCCCTTCGACGAAAACTTTCAACGCGTCTTCTGCCCGATAGGCCGTACTTCTACTCGACGTTAGGACTTTCTCCTTAATCATCGAACTTTCTGCTCGTCAAGCCGACTTATTCTACTCGTCGCTCGGACTTATGCCCGTCGAGAACTTTCATCGGTGCTTCTGCCCGAGGCCGTACTTCTACACGACGTCGGACTCTCCTTGCGTCGACTATCTACTTGCCTTCAGACTACTAACCGTCGTCAGACTTTTACCCGTCATGGACTTTCATCGGTCTTGTACCTGGCAACTGCACCTTTTTTCTTTTAACCCGACTTCGTACTTTTCTACCAGATGTCGGGCTTCTACCAGATTAATAGACTTTTCGTCGGTCTTCTGCCGACACTGTATGACTACCCGACGTTTTTGAAATTCCTGCCTGTTCATCATACTTCTCCCCGATGCTGCGAAGTATATGCCCGTCATTTCAACCTCCCTTCCTTACAACGGTTTATCCGACCTCCATCGCAAATCACCAAAACATCAGAACTCCACAAGATCTCTCGAAGAAAAGAGGGAGGGAAAGAGAAGACATGTCGGAATCTCCGAACTTCCTTGGCCAAGCAAGAGGGCCTCAGAAAACTAGAGGGAAGACCTCAATAGAAAGGACAGAGGGAGATGAAGGAAAGGAGAAATCTCCCAACTTCCTTTGCCAAGAGAGGGCGGCCTCAGAAAACTGAGGAAGCCTCAATAGAAAGGACAAGAGGGAGATGAGGAAAGGAGAGAATCTCCGAACTTCCTGGCAAGAGAGGGGCCTCAAGAAAACTGAAGGGAAGGGCCTCAATAGAAAGGACAGAGGGAGATGAGAAGAAAGGAGGAGAAGAGAGAAGACAAAAAAATGAGGAGAAGAAGAAAAGGAATGAACTTTCTTAAAGATCTTAGGCCTATTTAATAGCTTTTGGGAGAAAGCAGTGGAAGTCTAGAATTTTTTTTAATTTTCCCAAATTTTTCTAAATTTTCTGATTTTTTCGAATTTTTTGGGATTTTTTCGGATTTTTTATGCATTTTTACGGCCAAAAAAAGGCCAAAAAAGCTTCTTAAAAAATTCAATTTTCTGCACTAGTGGGGCCCACTAGGTC